TAAAACCGTTACACCTTAATATATATATATATATATATATATATATATATATTTATTATTTAAGAAAAAAAAGGGGGCGGGTCAGTGCTAGGTTATGCATGCTTTACTGATATCATTGTGGATGTTTCGGTTTCTGTCAAGAATTATACTTTCTTGATCTAGATTTTTAAAATTTAAGATCATCGCCTAGTTTCCCGCCATCAGTGCTGATTATTCCACACTGAATTTGAGAACGTCAACTTTGTTTTTTATGGTCACAGGTCTTGGGAAAGAAGCCCACATGGAAGATTGGTTCATCTTTTTCCATCAAGAAAGTCTCACAAGCCTTACCCAAAGTTCAGATTGATGATGATGTGGACTTGATTGATGAGGACAGCCTCTTGACTGAAGAGGACCTCAAGAAACCCCAATTACCACCTGGTTAGTCTTTCATCGATTTTTTACAGTTTTATCCTCTGACCTCGAAATATTGTCTTATGGGCTTCTTAGATTGAAATTTGATGCATGCAGTGGGTGATTGTGAAGTTGGGAGCACAAGGAAAGCTTGCAAAAATTGTACTTGCGGACGAGCTGAAGCAGAGGAAAAAGTGGAGAAGCTTGGACTTACAATGGATCAGCTGGATAATCCTCAATCTGCTTGTGGAAATGTATTCCTATTTCACATGTCTTTTTCATTTTTAAATGTTGTTTTCCCACAGGTCCATTATTTATTACTACCTCATATTCTTTTTATATGTCATTTGCCTAATTAACCAAATAAATAACGTTTTGGATCTTTTGTACATATTTTTTCATTATTACCCTCATTTAGCTAATAATTACACTACATTTTTTCATATATAATCTTTTCTCAAAACATCAATCTCTATCTTAAATCTTACGAGGGTTATTATTGGCAAAAAAAAGATTCTTAATTACTGTGCAACTTCTCAAAACGACATAGGAATAGGAGGGAGTAGCATTTTGCTTCTTTTAAGGTTTTGCCTTTAAGTTTTATACAATCTAAAGTTGTCCGATATTTGCTCGGTTGCAGTGTGGTCTTGGTGATGCTTTTCGGTGTGGTACATGTCCCTATAAGGGCCTTCCTCCATTTAAGCTAGGCGAAAAGGTATGTTCAGAGTAGTAAAACAACTTCATTTCCCTTTTTTCTTTCTCCAGTATAATATAGTTCTTTGCCTCAAAATAGAAAGGAAAAGGAAGGGATATGTAACTGATGCTGGCACGTTGGTTTTCACTTGCTGCAGGTTTCTTTATCAGGGAACTTCCTTGCAGCGGACATTTAACTCCAAGAAGCCGAAGCTCGCAAATTCCTGAGAGTTTGTATCTTTTGTCTATTGTGGTTTTATGTTAAAACTATAGGGGATGTTTTTTGAGGCACTGACTATTCCGTTCTTTGTATTTTGGGATATTTTGTTCGGTCAAGAATGAAATCTTGTCTTTCTGGAACAAAGTTTGTCGTGAAAAATGAAGTACTTTCGATTACCACAATCAAACAGAAGAAGATACAATCGGTTGCATTTAGAAATGAGTCGAAAAAAGCAAGACATTCAAATTTTAAAATACAGGACATAAAAGCTAAGACAATTAATTCAAACAAGCCCAGCATCATATAAATAAAAAATAAATGGCAGTAAAAACCACAAAGGATCCTCGAACCATCTGCAAAACCAAAGTCGGTCTTTTCCAAATGCACGACCCTTCCGGTCAAAATTTTCCACCACCAACACTGGTAACAGTAGTTTTCAAAAACCGGTTTTCACGTCTTACCTCACAAATTGAACACAATAGATCTTTCTGCAACTTTTCGAACAAAGTCTACTTAAGTGGTATCACAACTTTAAAAAGACTACAAAAGTTACATGGAGAAGTCGACATACATTAACTCTTGTATGTGGTGGTATTTATAGAAGAGTCAAAATACAAAAGTTAAATGGAGAAGTCGACATATAGTAACTCTTGTATGGAGTGGTATTTATAAAAGAGTCAAAAAACACGGTGGGGTAGGAGTAAGATAAAATGTTTTTATTTTTGGTATCATTCATTTTTTTTTCCCCATATTTTTATTTTGATTTTTCTGTTTTATTATTCTTCTTTTTGCATTAATTACTTTTTATAGCATAACCAAACTATTTAAAAATCCGTTCAAAATAATAATAATTTTAATATTATTTTATCAGATTAATTAATCATAATCAGTCAATATTACAAAACTTATATTATTGCAATCAATATAAAAATTAATATGTAATTTGAATAATTTATATTTATATCGTTCATTATTAATGATAAAATTTATAAAATGTGATATACTCATTATCTAACATATAATTTTAAATACTAAATACACATATAACATATAATATTTTATTTCTAAGTTCTAACATATCAAATTCTAATTCTCCATAAGAATAGCATTAGCATCCAATCAACCAAAAATTAAATGCTCCCCCACGTCCGGATTTGATACAAATCACAACTGTTCATTAGCATCCAAGGTTAAAAAATGACCTAGGTCACCAAACTTGACGATTTTTTGCTTTTTTTTTTTTGTTTTTATCCCATCACCCAACACAAGAGGTCATGGATGATAGTCTAAAAGTTCAAATTGAATACACCCCTTTCATCCTAAGTGCAACCCTTGTGAATGAATTTTAGATTTATGTTAATGATGCAAAGTGGATTATGAATTCGTAGTTTGGACATGAATTTATTATTTAATTTTGGTTTTCTTGTTGAGATATTGGATATTTTTTAATTTAAAATATAAAATAAAATACATATCGATGATGAAAGGACAAACAAAATAAAATAACTATAACAACTTTGAAGTTTTTTCCTAGAACTATGAGACGTCCTTAACTACATTTCACATGAAAGTGTATGCAACATAACATACCATGTCCACGGTTCCTAACGCCGTACATATTCGTGAAATTTATTGAAAATTTTCTAATAGTACTGATATTTTATATGAATAAATTCTAATGCAATTGTTTGATCCATTTAGTGTTGCTTTAAATTTATATGTTTAATCACTTCTTTTTTTGTAAAATAATTTTGATGGTTCAAAGTTTTACATTTTCATTTTTTTTTTTGGGTTCATTTTACACTTGTAGACGGGAAATGGCTCGANTCAATCAAACAAAAGTCATTGAATCGAAAAAAATTCAAGAATATTATTAGCTACTTCCCCTCGTTGTATTAATATCATTTGGAAATAATCTTGGTGCTCAAAGTTGATATTTTTTCAATTTTCTTTTTATTTTGTGCAAATTCATCGAATCAACCCTTAGAACTTTTCGAAACTAATAATTTCCAGTTTCTGGCCCAAAATTCTTTGATTCAACTTTCAAACTTCTTCTATTAATAATTCTCATTCATCAAATACATGGTGTTTCACATTTACTTTTTGCTCATGCATGTAAGATGCTTTATATCTCTCATAAACCTTAATTATATCAATTTAGTTTCTCAATTATCTTATTATTTAATTTATTTATAAATTTGAGCGCAAAAATCATGTAATTTGTTGAACACAAATTGACGTGTGAGATTGTTTAATGGTTTGATCTTGTCATATTTTATGAATAAAAATGAATATTAATATTATTAAATGTCATATTTTTGTTAATATGATTTTTTAAAGTATTGTCATACTATTTGAATGAAATAGTTGTACTAATACTATAGAATAACATACTTCTATTTATATAATTTTCAAAACATGATTTTTTCTAATAAAAATACAAATATTTGTGGAAAAATATGTCATATCTATATCATGTTATTAAGCGTTATAAGACTACCATTTCTTATTATATATCTCAATTCATTAATGTATACACTATAATTTACGTTTACCCCATTATTCTATCTTTGTATAATTATTTCACTAACATTAATTTTGCTACTGCCATTAAAAAATGAAAATATAAAAAAAAGGCTACATTCGAATAAGTAAAGACATTTTTATTTTCCAAAGGACCATGAAAAGTGAAAAAATCTTAGCCAAAAATAAGGGATAAAAAAGGGTCCACCGTCATTACTAAGTTTCCATTTTTTTGCATGAATGGAAAAAAAACATTTCACAAAGTAATAATTATTGATTAGAGCCTCAAGCAAAATTCGTAACACCAAGAAACCCAATTCAATTCAATTCGTTTCTTTTCCCACACTCCATTATTCTTGTTCCCTCTAGTCTCTTAATTGTCACACAAATAAAAAAAACCATCAAATTAATTTAATAACTTTTGCTTTTTTCCAAAGAGTTAAGGACACAATTTTTATTTTTATTTTTATTTTTTGTCACACACACACACACACAAGAAAAATCAAGATGACGTGTTTTTGTTCATCATCTTCATGTTTGAGACTACTGTGGTTTTTGTGGCCGCTGCTGGCGGCGGCGGCGGTGGTGGTTTTTGTCCGGCCGCCGGCGCCGATTTTTTCTTACAAAAGTGGTGATTACTTGCAAGAGTACATGCGTACGAGGTTTTTTAATTGGTTTCTACTGAAAAATGAAAGTTACAAATTTGGAGATGATCGCGAAGTGAAGAATATCGAACAAGTAAGTTCTCTCTCAGAATTTTTTTAATGATTGTGTTACTTTTTAAAAATATTTGTATGATTTAGTGCACAAATTATTGTGAGGCAGAAAAATGCTTTATTAATAAAAATATATATTTTCAATATTAATAACATATATTTTTATTTATCCTGCTTTTTAAAAAATATGACACTTATTAATGAAATATGTATTTTATTGACATCTAGATTTATTTCAAATTATTAATATCTGTATGTTATATATATATATATCAGCTGGTATACTATATTAATACAAAAATTGTTAATATCTATATATTAATGGATGTAAAAATTTTAGTACTTAAATTTCAAATATTTTTATGTTTATACTTTATACCTAGATTTTTTTTCACATAAATATTTTTACCACTTTTGTGTTTGATTGTACATATTCGTTTATTTTTACTTCAAAACTAGTTAAGAAAGAAGCGGAAATGGAAAATGGGAGTCTGACTTTGGATTGGGAATATATTGTTCTTATTTATTGCTAAGTTCGTTTTGGTAAAGATTATTTTATTTATAATTTTATATCCCCATTTTGATTTCGTTGTACAATTTATGTATGATGAGGTCAAATTTTACAAAGCCTATTTTTTTTTAAACAAAATCAAAACCTCAATTAGATAATCATCTAGTGTTTGCTTGTCATTGTTCTTTATCAATTTCTTTCAAAAATGTTGTTACTCAAATAATATATTTATGAGCTAAATTTCTGAAGTGTTCTGAAGTATTACAAGCAGATCATGTGGCTTTTTTTATGGACACGTCATATAGTAAAATATTAATGAGTCGACCCAATATTTATATATGTTTATTTTTTATTTAAAAGTTATGACAAGTCAATGTAGAAGATTTATAGTGATTTCAAAGACACGAGATATATATAGCAATTCTAGTAAGTAAAGTCCAGTATAACAATAAAATTTGTGGAGAAAAAATGGGTATAATATTTTACAGCTTCATATGTGTCATTATTCATTTATGTAGACAAATATATGTTAAATAAAATGGAATTAATTATCCCTTCAACTTCAAGTCTCCCAACTTTCATTAGGTACAACCTGAAAATATAGTATCCAGTAATATGTACAATTACCCTTTCTCCACCTTTATTCTTTTCTTCTTTCATTTTTCAAGGAAAAAGGGACAAATTGATGGTATTTGGAGGGAAAAATGCTGAGATAAAGCTTNAATTTGAGCACCAAAGGAATTTCCTTTTGCTAGAATTTGAATTTTGTTTCATGTAGTTCTCAAATATGCATTTCATTATAATTTACCATTCTTGAATCATTGGACAATATAAAACCTAGAGACATAAGTTATGCAATAATTGATTCGTATTGAAATGAAAGTTGCTACAATATGACAAGTTACTTTCTTAATTAACCATTTGACTCATCATACATTTATAACAAAAATGAATGCTCGTCGCAAAAAATATGATTGTCTAATTATGCGTGTCATTTTACAGGTACAAGACTACAATGACATATACCAAAATGATACAAGGCCACGAAACTCATCAGAAAGACAAAAAAATTACACAAATCTCGAGTTGGTCGAAGTCGAACTTGTTCAAGCTCGGGCAGCCATTAGAGACGCGAAAACTAGTAATGAAACCTTAACAAAGGATCCCGATTATGTCCCGAGTGGGCCCATGTATTGGGACCCCAAACTCTTCCATGCGAGCTACTTGGAAATGGAAAAGAGATTGAAGGTGTACGTATATGAGGAAGGCGAGCCCCCGGTATTCCACTTGGGGCCGTGCAAGCACACGTATGCCATCGAGGGCATCTTCATGTCGGCCATTGAGCAAAGCCGGTTTCGCACGTATGACCCCAACCGGGCCAACCTCTTCTTCCTCCCGCTAAGCGTGACGATGCTAACGCAGGTGGTCTACGAGCCCAATTCCCACGAGTGGTCCCTCATGAAGAACACGGCCTCCGACTATGTCGATGTCATTGCTCGAAAACATACGTATTGGAATCGAAGCTTAGGCGCCGATCATTTCATGCTTGCTTGCCATGATTGGGTATGCGCGATTTTCGATTTTTTTCCTCTTTGGGCTCGATTAATTTTGGATAGTATAGTATAGTATTCTTTACATGTATAATGAAATTTTTGCAAAATGACTAATTCATAATTAGAAGGAGAGGAAAAAAATCAAAATAAGTGTTTTCACATTGATATAAGAATATGAGATGAAAAAAACCAGCCATTATAAGGTTTGGATAGCGTAGAAAAATGATTTGTAAAGTTGTAAAATATGTGACCTGATTGTTACAATTTTGTCCATTAACTTTCACGTATAGTGGATATTTTTTTTAATAGTTACTAAACCAATTTGTAAATGATTGCTATTTAATTATTTCATAGGGGCCCGAGATCTCGTTCGCGGTCCCCAACCTCCACACAAACGCCATCCGGGCCCTGTGTAACGCCAACAAGTCCGAGCGTTTCAGCCCGGCCCGCGATGTCCCGATTCCCGAGATCCACCTCCCCGACGGCACCACCCGCGGAATGCTTGGCGGGCCGCCCCCATCCCAACGGCCCGTCCTCGTCTTCTACGCGGGTGGGGTCCACGGCCCGATCCGCCCGGTCCTCCTCCAACACTGGGAGAACCGATCGGACCCGGAAATCCAGATCCACCGCTACCTCCCCCGCAACGTGTCCTACGCGGACATGATGCGGAAATCTCGGTTCTGCCTGTGCCCGAGTGGGTACGAGGTGGCGAGCCCGAGGATGGTCGAGGGACTCTACTCGGGATGCGTGCCCGTCCTCATCAAGGACGGGTACGTAATCCCGTTCAGCGACGTGCTGGACTGGAAGACGTTTGCGGTTATAGTCCAGGTTTGGGATATCCCGAACCTTAAGAGGATACTGATGGGGATTACGATGAGGGATTACGTGAGGATGCAGAGGAGGGGGATTCAGATGAGGAGACATTTCGAGGTCAATACGCCGGCTAAAAGGTACGATGTTTTTCATATGATAATGCACTCGATATGGCTGAGGCGGTTGAATGTGCGGCTGACCAAGGGTGGAGGCTCGGGATCGTGAGTCGGGCCGAGCCTCGGAGTGGTTAGTGTGCGGTGTAGAGATTGGTTGATCTTAGGATTTGAAGTTGGAATGTTGTTTGTGAGGGTTTTTTATGGTGTGTGTTTGTGTTGGTCATGTTATGGGATGGTGGGTATGGGCTTTTGGATTATGGGCATTTTTAAGATTCTTGCATGTTCGATCGCCTCAAAGTATGTAATTGACAAAAGGATATATCCTCTCTAATTATGTGTTATGGCCACATTCATTATATTGATTATCATAAGTTGAATTAAGTGTTGAGTAGTGTTGATTGTTATATTTTTATGTAGAGGAATACAATTAAACTTTTTACTGCAATTAAATAACATTGTGTATAACTTTTTTATAATATGAATGAAATGCATATAATTTTATAGTATTTGAAAGTATACATATTATCTTACTCATTTTCTATTTAATTATGTAATATGTATATATGAGATGAATGGATCTACAATGTATCCTTCTAAATATACATAAATGTACATTGTATATTTATCTATCAATCACAGATTTTATTGTAGGTTGCCATAATTAGCGAGTATTATTAGATTGTCTAGTGATTAGTGACTCATATTATCTAATAAAAATCATCCTATTATGGATTCCATACATTTTTATTAATATATTTTTTAAACTATGACATTTGAATATGATAAAATAAGTCTTATATCAAAACAAACCCACTCAATTGTATAGTTTGACTCGATTTTTTTATTTTATCTTGATTTTTCTATACATTTGAGTTCAAATCGTGCAAAACTCGCCCTCACTAAACCTAAATAAATGAAAAACTGAAGATGAAAAAAAAAATGAATAAACGAGTCATATTGCATCACATAAAAAATAAGCGAATCGAAACCAATAGAAAATTTTGTACACTAAAATAATCAAGTCAAATCGTACTAAATTATATCGTTCTACCCTATTTTTCGATTTTGGTTCTTTTTTCCCACCTCACATTTGAAAATCCACTAAATACCCGGGCCCTCGAATGGGTAATATAACCTGGGTCGGGTCGACCCTATTCAACCCGACCTATGCACTCGAATTCCTAAGAGCACTCATAATGTTTTGGGTCTCTTAAAAAAAAATGAAATGTCATGTAGGAAATAGACGTAGTCTATAGAAAGATGTATTCCAATGCAATAAAAAGTAGACATAGTCTAGTTTATATGGCACTAAAAAAAAGAGACTAAGCCTATTCTTGGGTTTATTTTAAACTTAAGTACAAATCTGCCTAGTCAGTAATTATTCACAATTTTCTTTTTTTTTAATAGGCAAAACAACTTTTTTTGAATGCATTTACTATTACTATATTTTGATTAATTGTTAGGTATTCTGGACTTAATATTTTTTTTATTTGCATTAGATAGATTTTGAATTTTTCACTATTGATTTGTCCATGTCATTATGAACTTAAGTAAATTTATTTGATAGATATATAAAAAGAGAAATATTGTGGATGCTCTAACAAAAATTGAAGGATAGACCCAACCGAGAACCGACGTCTCACCCCAATAAACCTCGAAAACACCACCGCCTTTTCTTCAATTTAAAATCCAAACAACAGATAAGCATGCTACGTGGCAGAAATCGAATTGATGCACAACTACGTGTCATCATTTATCACGCCCAGCAAAACTTAACGCTAACACGTGTCATCCCACGCTCTCAGACGAACCGTCTTTATATACTCATCTCTCCTTCCCTCTATCACACACAAAAAAAATAAAGAATTCACAAAACCATTTTCTACAGTTCCCAAGCGTTCAGTTCCATCCGGTTTGTATATCAAAAACACCAAATTTCAAGAAAAAAAAAAAATGGCGTCGACGCAAATCCCATCTAAGGAAGAGAGGGCCGAGGCCGCCGCCAGAGCCGCTGCCGACGAGCTCAGCCAGGCCAACCGTGAGAGGAAGGAGCGAGAGGCCGTGGCCGTCGAGGGCGCCGAGCCCCAGCCGGGAGTTATCGGCAGCATAATCCGCACCGTTCAGGGCGCCAAGGACGCCGTCTTGGGCAAATCCCACGACGCCGCAGACTACACGGCGGAGAAACCCGACGAGGCCAGGGACACCGCCGCCGGAAAGGCCGGTGAGTACGCCGGATACACTAAAGAGAAGGCGGCGGAAACGAAGGACACCGTCGCCGGAAAAGCCGGCGAGTACAAGGATACGGCCGCCGAGAAGGCCAAACAAGCCAAGGACACGGCCGCCCAGAAGGCGGCGGAGACGAAAGACACCGTCGCCGGAAAAGCCAGCGAGTACAAGGACACGGCCGCCGAGAAGGCAAAGCAAGCCAAGGAGACGGCCGCCCAAAAGGCGGCGGAGACGAAGGACACCGTCGCCGGAAAAGCCAGTGAGTACAAAGACACGGCCGCAGAGAAGGCCAAGCAAGCCAAGGACACAACCGCCGAGAAGGCCAAGCAAGCGAAGGACACGACTGTGGAGAAAACAGGGGAGTATAAGGACTACACGTCGGAGAAGGCGGCGGAGGGAAAGGATGTGGCGGTGGGGAAGATGGCGGAGCTGAAGGACACGGCGGCTGGGGCCGCCAAGAGGGCGGTGGAATTTCTGACGGGGAAGAAAGAGGAGACTAAGGAGAAGGTGGCGGATACAGGCGAGACGGCGAAGGAGAAGGTGGCGGAGACAGGCGAGACGGCGAAGGAGAAGGCAGAGCAAGCGAAGGAGAAGGCAGAGCAAGCTTTGGAGGCCGCTAAGGTGATTATTATTATTAGCCGACTTTGAGGTTTTATTTTGATTCGATTTTGTGGGGTTTTTTTTTGTAATAAAAAGTTATGTTGGGGGTAAATGTGCAATTACTTTATGCAATAAACCGACTTTTCGCATTTACTTTTTTCAATTTGTAACCTAGGAGAAGTATGAAGAGAGTAAAGAAGATGCAAGGAGGAAAATGGAGGAACTGAAAATTGAAAGTGAAAAATCAAAGGGCGATGCTGCTGGAAGGTAGGTACTATTTTTTTTTTTCGTAATTTTTTTCTATTTTTATTTGGTATTAATACACAGAACATTTAATTAATTAATTAATTAATTAATTTTTAGCAGGAGCTCCGGTGGCGGCGGAGGAATACTGGGCGCCATAAAGGAGAAGCTGACCCCACAGCCGGCGGCCGGGAATAAGGAGGAGGAGGAGCGACAGCATGGCAGTGGAGCCACGTACGGGCGGCGGAGGATGGCGGTGGACGAGTACGGGACGCCGGTGGTAGTGATGGTGGAGGAGGAGGAAGTGACGCCGGCAGAGACGGTGGCCTCGGTGCTGAAGGAGGCTGATCAAGAGGCGGGCCAGACGTTCAACGATGTGGGCCCGATAGACGAGGAGAAGGAGGGCTCTGTAGTGGTGACACGTGTCCGGTCCGGGAAGATGTGATGTGATGTGATGTGATTTGATTGTGGGGTTGCTTCTGGAAGACTTTTTCGTGCTTTTGTTGGGTTGGTTTTTTTTTTTTCTTTTTT